GGCGGAACGCTCGCCGAGGAGCTTCCAAGCGTGGCCGTCCGGCCGCGCGCGCTCGCGCGGAGAACCCTTCCCCGCCGCCGTGCCGCCCCTGCGCCGACGGAATCCGGACGGAGCCGGGACGGTCCGACCCCGCTTGTCGGATCGGGTGCCTTTCTGAGAGGTGAACTGACCCTCGTGTCCGCTAGGTGATGCTTTCTTAGGTGCTCGGGACTCCGAGCCTCCGTGTCCCTCGTGAGAAAGAATCCCTTCCTGAGACGTAACTTCTTACCACAAGAGAATAATTTGCCTCGTGGGAAATAATTGGCTTCATCACGTAAACCAGAAGTGTCCCGCCCATCCGTGGCCTCACGCAGCACTTTCCCTTCTTACCGTTCGAAGACGACCTGGCAGGTTGCAAGGGCACGGTTATAGGTCACGTAGCTTCTTATCTCTGAGTCAGACTCAGTGTGTGAGTTCCCTGTGAGCAGGGACTCCGCCTTTAACAGCCATAGACACGTTTTCTTAGCTTCTCCTAGTGGGCATGGGGCGGTGGCGAGGTTTGCAAAGTTGATGCTAAATAAATGAGTGACTGAGTTTTAAATGGTGTTCAAGAGGAGTTCAGTCATGGAAAAATCCAAGGCTTGAACTTCTTTCCACGCCCGAGGCTCGCTTAACTGAGCGTCAGATGCCGCGCATGCGCACTGAGGATACCACGGGAAAGAACCAACCTCAAAGTACAGTTCTAGTCTTCGTTGAGCCTTCAAGTTAAGTGGGCAAAACAAATGTTCAGCAAAGGGTTGCTATATAATGAATGTAAAAACAAACAAAAAACATTGATGAGGCTTGAAAGAAGCAGTCCATGCCATTATAATCTAAAAACCCATTCCCATCATTTCCCATCACTAAACAAGAGTCTAACTGCCCTAAGGGCCGGGATGTTAGAGAGGCAGCCTGCCCAGTCTTTCTCCCACAGAATGCCATGTGAGTTCCAACCACCGCAGAGTGCTCAGCCATGGGGTTCCCGGGCCCTTTGCCGTGAGGATAAAGTGAGTGTGCTGCTGAGCCAGGTGAAGGAGAAAGGTTGTGGGGAAGGAAGAGGTGGGCACCGTGGGGTTCTTGACTAATATGAAACATGTACAATGGACTGGTGGCTAGAGAGAGCTGGATCTGAGAACCGAATGAAGATAGATGCAGCCAGGGTCCAAGGGAGGGAATATGTAGGATGGTAGCTGATTACGTTCTAGATACTTTCACTTCACCAGATGAGGCTGGCCATCTGGTTGTTAGGTACCATCAGGTCGGTTCTGACCCATAGCGACCTTCTGCACAACAGAATGAAACATCATCTGCTCCTGCTTGGCCCTGTGCTATTGTCACCACTGTTACTGTGCTGGAGCCCATTGTTGCAGCCATAGTGTCCGTCCATCTCCTTGCGGGCCTTCTTCTTTTGCTGCCCCTGAACCCAACATGATGTCCTTCTCCAGGGACTGGTCTCTCCTGTCCAAAGTATGCAAGACGAAGTCTTGCCATCCCTGCCTCTAAGGCACACTCAGGCCGTACTTGGTCCAAGACAAGTCAGCTTGTCCTTTTAGCAGTCCATGATCTTTTCAGTATTCTTCTCCAGCACCACACTTCAATAGCTGACTATAGTGAAAGAAAATTACCTGAAATGGTTCTTCATGCATTTGTAATTCCCGAAGAATGATGGAGTAGGACTGGAAAGTGTTAGGGGTTTTCGAGGTGGTCTCCCCTCATAGCGACCCTCTTACAACAGAATGCAACATGGCTTAGTTCTGCGCCATCCTACATCTGTTGTGTTTGAGCGCATTGCTCCGGTCACTGTGTCAATGCATCTCATTGAAAATCTTCCCCTTTTTTCACTGCTCTACTTTACCAAGCGTGATCTCCTCCAGGGATGCTCCCTTCTGACAGCATGTCTAAAATACACGAGACAAAGTTTCTCCATTCTCGCTTCTAAGGAGCATTCTGGCTGTAATTCATTTGGTCTTTTGGCAGTCTGTGGTACGTTCAGCATTTCACCAGCACCATAGGGTGCTGAAACACTGTTAGAGGAGATTGGTCAGTTTTTCCACTCCACTGAGTGTAGTAGTGAGCCATCTCAGAAGCAGGAAGGAGTCCCATGACCGTTAAGAAAGAAGAACAGAATTTGTGGGATAGCCCTACCGTTGATTCCATCAAGGGAATTTGTGTGATAGCCCTAGCTGAAGTGGCCGAGGCAGCCGAGGCACCAGAGGCTCAGGCACTGAGACCATGAGACAGGGGAGCCATGCTGAGAGAGGCAGAGCAGCAGGTAGGAAGGTTTCCTGGCCTATGGAAGCAGAGGCCAAGGCACCACATGACTGAGAGGCCAGGGACCAGAGAGACACGTCTGCTAGCGTGACTGAGAAGAGGCACTTCAGACAAAAGAACTGCATCCTTAACATTTTGTAACCTTTTAGGGTCCATGGTAAATCCCATAATGAATATTATTTGTGAGTTCTCTATGGCCATTACAACACATTGTTGAGCCCAGCAGAGTAGTGTGGGATGGATACTTGCTGTTAGAATAGGGTGAAGAAAGAGGATGGGGAATGGGGTAGGGGGGATGCGGGGAGGAGAGGAGGGGTGGTAATGTTTGACCTCTGTCTTGTGGCAATCACCATGGGTTGATGTAGAGTTGGATTCTCCTTTGTGTAGCCACAGGAGGTCAGACTTGGCTCCTGTGCCATTTCTTCATGGACCTTGTGAATCTTTGAAAGAGTTTTAGCCTCCACGAACAAGAAGTTCTTGTTGAATGACGGGGAGTAGAGTTTTTGAAGTATGGCATAACTTGAAGTCCTCCCTTGGCACTGAGTCCATTCAGACTCATAAGGATCCTATGTAGTGTTTCCTACATCGGCTTTTGGGAGAAAAATGAGGCTTTCTACTCCCCTAAAGATTTATAATCTTAGAAACCCAAAAGGGCAGCTTTATGCTATCCTATAGGGTAGGATAGATAGATAGTATCTGCCCCCGAGCCATGGTATTTTTCACTGTCTCGTATGCATGTGAAAGTTGGACATTGAATAAGGAAGACTGAAGAAGAATCCATGCATTGGAATTGTGCTGCTGGAGAAGAATATGGAAAGCTGAAAGGACTGCTGAAAAGACAAACCGATCTAGAGTGGAAGAAGTACAGCCCGAGGATAGCAGCGACTTCATCTTACTTACTGTGCATACACTGGTAGGAGAGCAGACCCTGGAGAGTGACAGCATGTTTGGTAAGGCAGAGAGGCAGCGAAAGAGGAAGGCCCTCAGGAGATGGATTGACTGCCTGCAACCACGGCCTCAAAGGTGGAATAATTGTGAGGATGGCGCAGGACTGGGCAGTGTTTCACCCTTTACAAATCGAAATAGCTTTGTGTTATTGTGATACTTCACCGTTGAAGTAGTTCCTTTCAAAAAAAAATTCAGGGTTTTTTTCCCCCTGCCTTTTTTTTTTTTTTTTTTAACATTTT